TCATTTCTCCCCCCCCCCCCCCCCCACACACGAGATTGTAACACTATTAATTAAAAATACATCTATAAAATGTCAATGTTTAAAATGCTTGGAGCCTTGGATGTCGTTTTTACTAGTAAAGATAAATATATCATATTAAGTAAGTCTGATGGTAAATTCCCACAAACGTGCCAAATGACATTGTATGTATTCCCTTGGGACTTAACCTTATGTAATGAATTATTTTTGTTATTATTGATTATGCTTTGCCATATATGGACATATTGCAAGTCTCTACATTCCCGTCATGCGGGTGTCGCCCGCTCAAACCTGTTTTTCTCGATTGTTTTACGTCATGTGACGTCACCATTGTGCTGAAATAGCCATTCTGATTGGTCGAGACTCCTGGAAAACCTGTTTTTCCTGTATGAACAAGTCTATTTGTGCGTCATCAAGGAAATCGTGCGTGAGTGTGTGGTTCTTGTTGGGGAAGGACGTATATATTAATTTCGTTTCGTTTCTAAATTAATCTACGTTTCATAGCCTTCAACGGCTTTGTTTCACGCCGAAACTTAGTGTATTCCGAAGTATAATAGATAAGAAACATCATAAGAAAACGTTGCGTGTTTTTGGGTACAATTTCACCGAGGAAAAGCTCCTTTGAAAGGCGAACAAGACGAAGCCATTTTGTCGCTTCGCTCGTGGCAACCGCTAAACAGAAGCGACCTTACTCGGTCAAAAAGGGCAAATTTGTTCTCTTTTTTACACTAGAACGGTATTGTTTAAAAAGAAGAAACCTTTGGGATCAAGAAACCGAACGAAACGATAAATTTTGAAACCGAGAAAGACGAAAGTGGGAAGACGAAGGACAAAGTCAAAGACTCATTTGGTTGGCGGATTCGTTGAAGCTGTGGTTCGGTGTCGCTACTGGTTAACTAAAGAGTAGAATCTTTTTCGACCTATGAAGCGTAAAATGTGTCAGGGTAACATAAAAAGAACTCCTGACGAACATTTATCAGAGACAGAAATGTGGTCGTTTCTCGCCTCGGCTATAGACAAGAAGCGAGCGGCAAAGCGGAGGAGACCCGATATGTACAGAGAAGCTTTATTACAACGAACAGTTCAAAGACTAAACGATGAAATAACAGAACGCTCTATGAAAAGAACTAAGAAACGAAAGAGTGAGGAAAAATACGAGTGGCAAGATGGACCCAATGGCTGGTGCATGACCGACTGCATGAACGAAGACGATGATGATTTACTAGGTATAAATTCGTTCCTCTCTGAACTAAGTAGCACAAAACCTAACAAGCGAAAAAGAGAGGAGATTTTGGGGAATAATAATCTGAAAAGCGCAGTTTTGCCGAGTTTTAGCGATACTTTTGGTGAGAATAGGACAAAAAATTTAAGTTCAAAATCCGTTGATGAACAAAGAAGCCCTTCGAGCGGATCCAACATGGCGCGTTGTCGGGCAGGTTTATTTCAACCGCAAATCTCGTTAGTCGAAAAATTTGATTCGTTGTGTTGTTAGAGACGGGAACATGTCTAGTATAGATAGTATTTTTCATAACATACGTAAATTTTAATATTTTGTATATAGTGTTTGATATAATTGTGTGCAATTCATATGAATTTTACTAACAGGTTTGAACTTGATATACTGGATTTGTCCATTATCAAGAACTGAACAAGACATTTCAGGTTTTCACTGAGTTTCGGTTAGATAGTTGTGTATAAAGGTTGTGGAGGTATATTTTCTAAATAAAATACAGATATTTATTATAAATATATTGCATTATGCTTATATATCTTTCTATTTTTCATCAAAGCTACCCAGTGAGAGAGCGGTAGTTCACGGAACAAGCAGTTGTTGGCTCAAGATTATCAAGACACTTTGAAATGGTGCTTATCTTTTCTTTATTTTCAATTTCTCTATTAGTACAGGTTGAGAAAAGTAGTGCATTATTAATATATTTCATAGTCCAAAGTTGCAAGAAAACCAAGAATCCAAGAGTTAAAGTATTAAATCTTAATAAGTGATCCCCATTTCCAGAAATAATCCTCAAGACATTCTGATTTTCTATACAGGTGCCTTCAAAACGGCATCATTTAAGTGCTGGATCCCACAGGGAGTTGGGGTGTGGGCATCATTCAAATCCAGAGAAATCCTTCAAATGGTATGTATCTTTTTAATGTTCACTAGTCGGTGGCCGTTGGATAATTTAACACAATAGTGGAAATTAGGAAGTTTAGTTCTTTAAAATTTTTCGTTGTATAGTAGTCCTCAAAATATACCTTCAGGGGTTTAAGATTTCCCTATAAGAGCCAGTTCATTTGACTTTCTGCTGGATTTCACTTCACTTGCCTTGAAAAGAACAGATTCACTCTCAGGATTGGGTGTGGTTATTCCACAATACATCATTAGCCAATGCTAGTGTTTTTTATTTTAATATTTATGCAATGTTATTAAATTAAAAGAGGATCAACTGACTTGAAATAAAATTTGTTTAGAATTTTCTCTTGGTCATTCTACAGTACAACTACAAGTAATCATCACAACTGAACGTCACAGTCAAATGTCAGTGAGAGTCGATGAGATCATAACTTCCCAAGAATGTGTTTGATGGGTGGATGAGAAGTCACTTCTGGTTCCATATTGGTGTGATTGCACCGGTTTGCTAGTTGTAGATAAAAAATGTGTTGTTTCCGTATAGTTAAAAAGGAAGCACATTTTGCACTAACTAGAAATTTTGCCATTTTGTTAATGGATAATTGGTGCTGTTTCTCAGCTGTAGATAACCTTTTTACTATCCTTGCTTGTAGTTAGTTAAATATTGCAACAAACCATCTGAAATTACAGTATGCTTCAAAACTATTCAAATGCCTTCGTTATTTACTATTTTTTGTTGGAAACAATATATTCATTATGGTTTGTTGCAATGACCTACCTAAATTTTAAATCCTAGCGATTTGGGTAATACGTATTTTGTACATTGCAATCCAACAGGTTGATACCAGATACCCAACATTGGTACAATGTGAAGAATAATGTTAATGTTGAACAGAAGAATATCAAAACTGATGTGAAGTTCAGGCAAAATCCTTTCTAATTATGATTTCCCTAATTCATTTGATTTATTAATATAAATTTACTTTCAAAGTTCTTTAGATTATAAATTTTAAAAAGTAAATTTACCAAAGCATAACAAACACATTTGCTTTTACATAGCATTCAAGTCCATCTGTTCCAATAAAGAATTAAGAAAGCCATATATTTACTCCAGTAGTGTGAGTGGTTGGTTCCAAAAAGCCAAATGCAAAATAGATTGATGTCGTGGTATAGCAGCAGTTGAAATTCTTGCATGTACCAAATGGCTGCGGAATGGCAGGCAAGTGGTTTACGAGGCCTGGAATATGTTTAGACTTTAGTACCGGCCTTCCGTGTTTGCATCCATTAATAGAGGAGTAGAGACTAGATGAACAAATGGTTAATCAGCCAAGATCGTTTAAATATCTGCTATATTGCTGTCGTTATGATAAAACCATATCGTATTTTGTGTACCTGCCCATGATGTGCATCATCTCTTCTTGGCTGTCAATACATGGCAATTTGTGCCATCATGATCGGATAAAGCGAATGAGAACTTTGGTTACAAGACTGACTAAAGTTGTGGTATGTTTCATTGCATAATTATTTGCTTTAAATAATTTATTACCAACTTAAGTTTAATATCTATGCATCGCTTTTTTGTTATGTCAATTCTTTACTGTGGTTGCATGTAGTACAGTTTGTTGCAGTTGTTTCACAGTTTGCTTGGATTGTGGGTAGGGGAGGGCAAGCAACTTCGTTTCAGTTATATTTGTAGGAAATGTACTGTGTATCGTCTGCCTGCTGCAAACTTCAAAACAGAATCATTTAGTGCTGCAAATACATATAAATGGCCTGGATTTGAAAGATAAATGGTTCAGCTTATCATCCTGTTCATTTCTTACAATTTCCTTGAAAGCAAAGCATTTCCAAGAATTGTAACATTACACCACAGACATTTGCAATTACTACTTTTATTCTCCTTGTGGAAACCGTGTCGGTGGATCTGTGTACAGAAATACGAATTTAGCCAAATGCAATGCAAAAACATCTAAAAGTAAAGATGGAAAAAAAGTAGAAGGTACGAGAGCATTATAAAACGGTTGTGATTATGTCCGTATTTGTTTACACATTTTTTCAGAAAGCAAAGTTTAGAAAAATTGGATAAAAAAAACATCCGGTGCGAGTGAGGGAAGTGGCAAGTCAAAAATGCATTTGAAACGATGCAGTATTACTGTAATAGAAGTGCAAAGCCGTTAATGAAAATCTGGGCGTTTGTTTTGTTTCGTTCTTATCAACTCCCGCAATTTCACGTTGCCTGGCTTTATATAACATGGTAGAATATTGGGAAACTATGCAACATGCAAAAGTGCATATCATATGGAAGGTACGATGATTTTTTTCGAAATGTCTTTGTTCGTTTGTTTTGTATCCACTCTTTCAGCAAACGATTTTACAAGCCTATCTATACACGTGGCTTTTGCAAGTATGATAATGTGACGATGTCAATGATAAAATCGTAGGAAACTTTGAGTATATTTGGGGAAAAGTTGAAGGTACAAAATTGCTTTTGAAATATGTTTCCTGTGTTTCGTTGCATTTGTATCCACTCTTTCAGAAAACAGCTTACGCAAGTTTCTACTGCGCAATGCAATTTACAAGATTGTGAGACAACACTTGATAGTGGTATTTTTGAAAGGAAACTAAACTGGAACTGCACAAATGTTCAATAGAGAAAAATATTTGCAAAGAAGGTACAGAGAGATGTGGCTTAGGCTTACCTTAACATATTTATTTTGTTCGATGGTGTATGTGTATCCACTGTTATAGAAAAGTTTTTATTCGAGTTTTAATTGTGCGACGGAATACAATCCTACGCCTATGGTGAGTCTGAAGATTTGGTAATAGAGCTTTAGAGGGCAGAGCGAACTTCTGAGTAAGATTTTGGTTGAACTAGAAAACCTCGGAAAACATTTATATGATCAAAGGTATGAACTTCTTCAAGTCAAAGAATGTTTTTTTGTTCCGTTGTATTTGTATGCATTTTTTCAGAAACAAAATTCGCAAATGCCAAACTGATAAATGAAGTACAGTTTTGAAAATTGATCGTGAAGAAACTTCCGTCCAGTGACAGTGTCGTCCTGTTAGTTTAATAATGCAATCAAGTACAATCCTGAAGATCGAAAATTCCGATTTGCAAGTAATATTTCGGCAGAATAATACTGGAAAACGTAAGGAATACGTTTGACGAGATAAGAAGGTACGAACATCTTTTTCGAACAATGTTTTCGTATTTGTACTGCAGTTTTTCAGAAAAACATCGAGTTTCAACTGGAATGCAATAAAAGAGTGTCGTCGAAGAAAATATATTGAAAAAAAAAAGCAAATCGGCATTGGCATTGGTCTTCACTAGACACAACTGCAATCGATTACAAAATTATTCGTAAAAAGAAGGTACGAATAGAGTTGTTTTTCACAGTGTTTTGTTCGTTCGTATTTGTATCCGCTCTTTTTAGTAAAGAAATATTAGCATTAATATGGATGCAACTACCTGAAAAGTACAAGGAGAACTGCATGACAGATGAGGTTTTCTCCGAAAAAATCGAAGAATCGCGTCAGCTTGATTTTCGTGATTGAAATCGTTTGATCATGGTGACATTTTGTGAACAAGGTTTCCAAAAACAAGGTACGAATATATTTTTTCAAACGATGCTTCATTTCGTGCCGTTGTGTTTGTATCTACTCTTTCAGAAACAAAATTATCGAGGCCGAGGGATTTTAGAAAGAAATCTATGGCTTTGAAAACCTTTTGGATCCTCCAGACCTCCACTAATACACAGAAACATGTTTTGTTCGTTCGTGACCACTTTTTCAGAAAATTTTAATTATGCAATGCAGCACAACTCTGAAGTGAAGATTGACAAAACTGCTTTACATTACAAGTACTATCTTGGTAAAACAACTGAAGAATACACTAAGATCAAAGGTACGATATTATTTTCGAAAATTTTTGTTTCGTATTTGTATGCACTCTTTCAGAAAACAAATTTTTCAAGTGCGGTAATGAAATGCAAATTTGAAGATAATTGTAAAGTGACTGAAAAATGCGTGATCAGGATGCAATTTTGGAATTGTTTGGAAACTGACCGTGAAGAATGTTATGGTATTAGAAATTATTGAAAAACAATAGCTTTGTATTGGATTCGCACCACTGTACTGTTGATTAGAGAGCAGAAAGTTTTGAAACAAGGTACGCGAGTTTCTAACATTGCATTGTAACAATCGTTTCGTTCGGTCGTGTTTGTATCCACTCTTTTTCAGAAAAAAATAATCTGAATCGCTTAATTGGGTTATTGTGAAGATTGAGAATTAGTAAAACATTACAAAATAGAAGATGCGGTTATCTTTGAACGTTGGCGTTATATCCACGTGGAAATCGAAATTTGAAGATTGATTAGCACGAAACATTGAAATTTAAGAAATTCTTGAAAAGAAATATTTTTAAAAAGAAAGGTACGCAGATGGTTCTTTCAAATGTTTTGTTCGTTCGTTCGTATTTGTATCCATTCCTTTAGAAAAATATCCGAATTGCAATCATGTAATGACTAATGACAAAGAAGTGCAGTCCTGTTCATTAAAAATGGAGCCGACTTGGATGAAATATTTTGATAGAGTAAGAGAGAGGAAAACATTTAAAAAAGATGGAGCCGAAAGGGTACGATTATCTTGCGAAAAATATTTCTTTTCCCGTTGTATTTGTGTCCACTTCTTCAGAAAATTCAGAGCTTTTCAAGTGCGTAAGCGAAATGTATGGAGCTCCACCAAAGTTCAGTAGGGAACAAGAATGTACTAAAAAAAGAAGGTACGGAAGTTTTTTAACGAGTATTTGTTTGTTCGTTCGCATTTGTGTGTATACTTTTTCAGAAAACGAATAGATTGCGACTGCGTCCGGTAAATTGTGAAGTGTAATTTTCAAGAATTTAAAAAGATAGAAGTCAAGAGACAAGGATGTTTTGTGAGAGACAAGGATTGTTTAGCGATTTCCCACTAAAAAGAACATCGAGTTGACAACAACCACAAAGATCATCCAGAATCAAAACGTTTGTACACGGGTAAATTTCGAAGGATGTTTGTTTTTTGCCTTGTAAGTTGTATATCCATTTCAGCAAACAAAGTTTTTCGTGTGCGAGTTTTGACCATTGAAATATGGAGAAACAATTGGTAGTGAAAAGGTACGAAAATATTTGGGGGAAAAAACATTTAAAAAGGTATGGAGTTCTGTTACTTGTGTTTTTCGTTTCCATTTGTTCCATCTTTCAGATTCAAAATACTTCACAGTTCCACTGGAATGAAATTTTCCGAAGGCAAAGATTAAAAAAAACGAAGAAAACCATGAGCGCATTCGAAAATACCAAAAATATATTTTATCAAATTCAAACTGAATTTTGATGATTGGAAACTATCAAAACGTTCAACTTCTAGTGGAAATAACGCATGAGATACTAAAGAGGTATGCGGATTGTTTTCTTTTCGTTCGTTTGCGTTTGCATCCACTTTTTCATAGCCTGTACACGCACGTCAAATTCTAACTGGAATGAAAAGTAGATGAATGGAAACTATCAGAATACCAGTGGAAAACACGTTTGAAATAAAAAAGGTATAAGGCTGTTTCTTTTTTCGTTGTGTTTACATGCAGTTTTTCAGAGAGGAAGTTTATCCAATCCCGAGTGAGTGAAATTTTGAAGATTTAAAACAATCGCAAGTCAACATCCAGTGGGGGAAAAAAAACGCGTTCGAAGTACTGAACGGGTACGCGGATGTTCGTTTCGTTTGTATTTGCATCCAGCCATTTAGAAACGCGGTTATCAAATGCCGAATGGAATGAAAGTTTAAAGATTGAAATCAATTTTGCCAACATACAGTGGAAAATAACAAACGTGGTTGATTGACTAAAAAAAGGTACAACAATGTTTTGAGATTTTTTCTGTTCGTTGGTATGTATTTGCATAAAATCTTTTAGAAATGGGTTTAATTAAACATTTAATGGCAAACAGCAGACGCGGTTGATCAACTAAAAAGGTACGCGGATGGTTTTCTTTTGACAAGTTGGTTTGTGTTGGCATCCAGTATTTTATAGCCTGTGTAGAGACATCAAATGAAAAGTAGATGAATAAAAACTGTGACTATGGAAAACAACAAATATTTGAAATGAAGGTATGCGGCTGTTTATGTTTTCGTTCGTTGTATATTTACATGCAGTCTTTCAGAAACGGAGGTATATCAAATCCCGAGTGAAATGAAATTTTGAAGATTTAAAATAATCGCAAGCCACGTTAGAAATGCTCCATACGCGGATGTCAGTCTTTTCTTTCGTTCGTATTTGTATTCGGTCTTTCAGAAATGGCTTTATCAAGTTGAAGTGCAAAATGACAAATCCATGGTCATGGAGTCTAGAAAGGTACGGCAACGTTTTCTTTTTATAGTTCGTTTGTATTTGCATGAAATCTTTTAGAAATAGATTTGAACATTCACTGGAAAATAACAGAAGCACTCGATAAACTAAAAAGGTACGCGGTTGTTTTTCTTTTCGTTTGTTTGTGTTCGCATCAATTTTTTTTAGAATTGGGTTTAAAATTCATTGACATTGCATTGGAAAACAGCAGACGTGATTGAATAAAAATACGCGGATGGTTTTCTTTCCCGTTTGTGTTTCCGTCCAGTCTTCATAGCTTGTGTTGAGACGTCTAATTCCAACTGAAGTGAAAAGGTAGATGAATGAGTATTGAATATTACCAGAACATTGACATCCAGACTGTGAGAAACGAACACATTTGAAATACTGAAAGGTACGCGGCTATTTTTCGTTTGTTCCTTGTATTTACATGCAGTCTTTCAGAGAGGAGTTATCATTGATATTCCGAGTGTGATATTCCGAGTGAATTGAAATTTCGAAGATTGAAAGCAATCGCAAGCCAACATCCAGTGGCAGTGGAAAAAACAAATGCATTTGAAACATTGAAAGCTACGTGGATGTCCTTTTCGTTGGTTTGCGTTTTCCATGCATGCAATCTTACAGAAATGGCGTTGTCAAACTCAGCAGATTAAGCGCGGTCGATAAACCAAGACTCAAAAGGTACGCTGAAGTTTTTTTTCCGTTAGTTTGTTTTTGTGTACGATCTTTTAGAAATGGGTTTATCGAAATGCAATTTTGGAGATTGAAAACAATTACAACGGCAAATATCGAGTGGAAAATTTTAAACACTGGAAAGACGAAAGTATGCGGATGTTGTTCTCTTCGAGTCTATCTAGCCTGTCCACAGACGTCTAACTGCAAGCCATAGGAACACCTGTGCAAAACAACAGTACATTTGAAATAATAAAGGTATGCGGCTGTTTTTCTTTTCGTTGTATTATTGTCCATGCAGTTTTTCAGAAAAGGAGGTATATCAAATCCACGCGGAAATCGAATTTTGAAGATCTAAAGCAACGCAACCGAGCATCCAGCGGAAAAAACAACAAACACGTTTGAAATACCAAAAAGGTACGCGGATGTTCTTTTCGTTTGTATTTTCGTCCAGTCTTTCAGAAATGACTTTATCCGAATGGACTGAAGTTTAAAGATTGAAACATAGTAAGTGGAAAACAAGAAATGTGGTTGATAGACTAAAAAGGTACACGAATGTTTTGTTTTCTTTCGTTCGTTTGTATTTGCATAAATCTTTTAGAAATGGTTTAAATTTTTAATGGAAACAGGCAGACGCGGTTGATAAACTAAAAAGGAGGTACGCGGATGGTTTTCTTTTGACAAGTTGGTTTGTTTTGCATCCAGTCTTTCATAGCCTATGTTGAGACGTCAAATGAAAAGTATAGATGAATGTCGTGCATACTATGTCTATGACACCAGTGGAAAACAACAAACACATTTGAAATGAAGAAGGTATGCGGCTGTTTATGTTTTCGTTCGTTGTATATTTACATGCAGTCTTTCAGAAACGGTGGAGATATCAAATTCCGAGTGAAATGAAATTTTGAAGATTAGAAATACGCCAGGCACGCGGATGTCAGTCTTTTCTTTCGTTCGTATTTGCATCCAGTCTTTCAGAAAGGCTTTATCAAATTCCGATTGAAATCAATATCGCCAACATACATTGGAAAATGACAAATGCACGGAGTCTGGAAAGGTACGGAAACTTTTTCTTTTTAGTTCGTTTGTATTTGCATGAAATCTTTTAGAAATAGATTTGAACATTCAATGGAAAATAACGGAAGCACTCGATAAACTAAAAAGGTACGCGGATGTTTTTCTTTTCGTTTGTTTGTGTTCGCATCAATTTTTTTAGAATTGGGTTTAAAATTCATTGACATTGCATTGCATTGGATTGGAAAACAGCAGACGTGATTGATAAACAAAAAAACGCGGATGGTCTTCTTTCCCGTTTGTGTTTCCGTCCAGTCTTCATAGCTTGTGTTGAGACGTCTAATTCCAACTGAAGTGAAAAGGTAGATCAACGAGTATTGAATATTACCAGAACATGAACACCCGGATTGTGAGAAACAAACATTTGAAATACTGAAAGGTACGCGGCTATTTTTCGTTTGTTCCTTGCAAGTATTTACATGCAGTCTTTCAGAGAGGAGTTATCATTGATATTCCGAGTGAATTGAAGTTTCGAAGATTGAAAGCAATCTCAAGCCAACTCCAGTGGGGGAAAAAATGCATTTGAAACATTGAAAGCTACGCGGATGTCCTTTTCGTTGGTCCAAGCAGTCTTGTAGAAATGGCGTTATCAAACTCGCAGATTAAACGCGGTCATAAACCGAGACTCGAAAGGTACGCTGAAGTTTTTTCCCGTTTGTTTTTGCGTACGATCTTTTAGAAATGGGTTAATCGAAATGCAATTTTGGAGATTGAAAACAATCGCAACGGCAAATATCCAGTGGAAACTTTGAAACACTGGAAAGTATGCGGATGTTGTTCTCTTCGAGTCTATCTAGCCTGTCCACAGATGTCCAACTGCAAGCCATAGGAACACCTCTGCAAAACAACAGTACATTTGAAATAATAAAGGTATGCGGCTGTTTTTCTTTTCGTTGTATTATTGTCCATGCAGTTTTTCAGAAAAGGAGGTATATCAAATCCACGCGGAAATCGAATTTTGAAGATTTAAAGCAATCGCAAGCCAGCATCCAGCGGAAAACAACAAACACGTTTGAAATACCAAAAAGGTACGCGGATGTTCTTTTCGTTTGTATTTTCGTCCAGTCTTTCAGAAATGACTTTATCCGAATGGACTGAAGTTTAAAAGATTGAAACATAGTAAGTGGAAAACAAGAAACGTGGTTGATAGACTAAAAAGGTACACGAATGTTTTGTTTTGTCTTCTTTCGTTCGTTTGTATTTGCATAAAATCTTTTAGAAATGGGTTTAAACATTTAATGGAAAACAGCAGACGCGGTTGATAAACTTAAAAGGTACGCGGATGGTTTTCTTTTGACAAGTTGGTTTGTGTTTGCATCCAGTCTTTCATAGCCTGTGTAGAGACGTCAAAATGAAAAGTAGATGAATAAATACTATGTCTGTGAGTATGAGAACACCAGTGGAAAACAACAAACGCATTTGAAATTAAGGTATGCGGCTGTTTATATTTTCGTTCGTTGTATATTTACATGCAGTCTTTTAGAAACGGAGGTATATCAAATCCCAATTGAAATGAAATTTTGAAGATTTAAAACAATGGCAAGCCACGTTAGAAATACTCCAGGTACGCCGATGTCAGTCTTTTCTTTCGTTCGTATTTGCATCCAGACTCCAGTCTTTCAGAAATGGCTTTATCAAATTCCGATTGAAATCAATTTCTCCAACATACAGTGGAAAATGACAAATGCGGTCTAAAAAGGTACGGCAACGTTTTCTTTTTAGTTCGTTTGTATTTGCATGAAATCTTTTAGAAATAGATTTGAACGTTCATTCAATGGAAAATAGCAGAACGCCAGAAGCACTCGATAAACTAAAAAGGTACGCGAATGTTTTTCTTTTCGTTTGTGTTCCCATCAAATCTTTTAGAATTGGGTTTAAAATTTATTGGAAAACAGCAAACGTGTCGATTAGCTAAAAAGATACGCGGATGGTTTTCTTTCCGTTCGTGATTCCGTCCAGTCTTCATGAGCTTGTGTTGAGACGTCCAATTCCAACTGAAATGAAAAGGTAGATGAATGAGTATTGAATACTACCAGAACATTAACATCCAGACTGTGAGAAACAAACGCATTTGAAATACTGAAAGGTACGCGGCTATTTTTCGTTTGTTCCTTGTATTTACATGCAGTCTTTCAGAGATGAGTTGTCATTGATATTCCGAGTGAATTGAAGTTTCGAAGATTGAAAGCAATCACAAGCCAACTCCTGTGGGGAAAAAATGCATTTGAAATGTTGAAAGCTAGGTGGATATCCTTTTCGTTGTTTTGCGTTTTCCATGCAATCTTACAGAAATGGCGTTATCAAACTCGACAGATTAAACGCGGTCATAAACAAGACTCGAAAGGTACGCTGAAGTTTTTTCCCGTTCGTTTGTTTTTTTGTACGATCTTTTAGAAATGGGTTTATTGAAATGCAATTTTGGAGATTGAAAACAATTACAACGGCAAATATCAAGTGGAAACTTTTAAACACTGCCACTGGTATGCGGATGTTGTTCTCTTCGAGTCTATCTAGCCTGTCCACAGACGTTATATTCCAACTGCAAGCCATCAGAACACTTGTGCAAAACAACAGTACATTTGAAATAATAAAGGTATGCGGCTGTTTTTCTTTTCGCTGTATTATTGTTCATGCAGTTTTTCAGAAAAGGAGGTATATCAAATCCACGCGGAAATCGAATTTTGAAGATTTAAAGTAATCGCAGTCCAGCGGAAAACAAACACGTTTGAAATACCAAAAAGGTACGCGGATGTTCTTTTCGTTGGTATTTTCATCCAGTCTTTTAGAAACGGCTTCATCCGAATGGACTGAAGTTTAAAGATTAAGATAGTAAGTGGAAAACAAGAAATGTGGTTGATAGACTAAAAAGGTGCACGAATGTTTTGTTTTCTTTCGTTCGTTTGTATTTGCATAAAATCTTTTAGAAATGGGTTTAAACATTTGATGGAAAACAGCAGACGCGGTTGATAAACTAAAAAGGTACGCGGATGGTTTTCTTTTGACAAGTTGGTTTGTGTTTGCATCCAGTCTTTCATAGCCTGTGTAGAGACATCAAAATGAAAAGTAGATGGATAAATACTATGAGATCACCAGTGGAAAAGAACGAACACATTTGAAATTAAGGTATGCGACTGTTTATGTTTTCGTTCGTTGTATATTTACATGCAGTCTTTCAGAAACGGAGGCATATCAAATCTTGAGTGAAATGAAATTTTGAAGATTTAAAACAATCGCAAGCCCCGTTTGAAATACTCCAGGTACGCGGATGTTAGTCTTTTCGTTCGTATTTGAATCCAGTCTTTCAGAAATGGCTTTATCAAATTCGGACTGGACTTCAAAGATTGAAAAATACAGTGGAAAACATCAAACGTGGTTGATAGACTAAAAAGGTACACACAAATGTTTTTTATGTTTCGAGCGGTTTGTATTTGCATAAAATCTTTTAGAAATGGGTTTAAACAATCAATGAGAAACAGCAGACATGGGTGGTTTTCGTTTGTTTGTGTTTGCAAATCCAGTCTCTCCTAGTTTGTGCACATGAAAAGTAGGTGAATGGAAACTATCAGAATACCAGTGGAAAACAAACACATTTGAAATAAGGTATGCGGCTGTTTCTCTTTTCGTTCGTTGTATTTTCATGCAGTCTTTCAGAAAAGGAGGTTTATCAAATCCGAGTGAAATGAGTGGAAAAACAAATGCATTTGAAATACTAAAAAGGTATGGGGATATTCTTTTCGTTCGTTTGTATTTGCATCCAATCATTTAGAAACGCGGTTATCAAATTGCCAATGGAATGAAAGTTTAAAGATTGAAATCTATTTCACCAACATGCAGTGGAAAATAACCAATGCGCTCGATAAACTAAAAGGTACGCCAAGGTTTTTTTCCCGTTCGTTCGTATTTGCATCCAAGCTTTTAGAAATGGGTTTACCGAATTCCGAACTGACATGAAATTTGAAGCCTGAAAACAATCGCAATGTAAATCAACATGCACTAAGGACAAGTGAGAACATGCTGGATCTGAAGAAAAAGTAGGAGGGAAATTCCAAAGGAAAAAAATTAAAGAACCAAAATTAAAAAAAAATGGCAAAGATGAGTTTTGGGATAAGAGAGGTGTCAAGATGAGGAGAGGTGTCAAGAAAGAGATCAAAGGGGAAAAGTTTAAAAAGAAAGTAAAAAAAGTCAGACTTTTATAGATGTGATAGAGCAAGCCATGGACAACGTTGAATGCAGTTTATAGAAGGAAAAGATCGAGATAGTAACCAATTGTGGCTTTTAGAATGTGAAAAAGCACCGAATTCCAAACTGGCATGAAATTTGAAGATTGGAAACAGTCGCAATGCAAATCAACATGCAAGAGCAGGTGAGAACATACAGTTGGATCTGAAGAAAAAATAGGAGAGAAACTCCCCAAGATGTCAAGGAAGAGGTCGAAGTATGGCAAAGATAGTTTTGGATGCGGGATACTTGGAGGACAAAATTGGATTGAGAATTTAGGATAGAGGTAAGGTTAGAATTGTGTATTGCTATATGTTTTTGCAGGTTTGAAGCATGGAAAGGCGGTGTCCAACCAATACGTCTTCTATGTGTGTGTGTGTGGTGGATATGTGGTCAGATTATATTGAAAAAAGAAGCGAAGCAGGAATAGCTCAAGCCAAGAAATCGAAGAAGACGAAAGAACGTATGGTACCGATAAACCTTGCAGCTTTCAACGTGGTGGCTATGTGGTCAGATTTTTTATAAATGTGAAAGAAAGAAAGAAACGAAGCAAGGAAAGATTGCTACGATAGTGTGGGTTTCTGTGTGGTGGATGTTGTGGGCAGATTTTTTATACAGATATGAATGAAATGAAGCAGAGAAAACGCACAAAAAGACGATGTGATGGGAAGAAATGAAGAATAGAATCATGTATGAAAGAAACGAAACAAGGAAAGGTTGCTATATGTGGGCAGATTTTTTTATATAGATATGAATGAAAGAATGAAACGAAGCAGAGAAAACGCACAAAAAGACCATGGTGAAGGGAAGAATGAAGAATAGGTATGTTTAGATCATGTATGTTTCTGTGTGGTGGATTTGTTGTCAGATTTTTATAGATATGATAGAAGAAAGCCATGGACAATAATGAATGCAGTTTTAGAAGGAAGAAATTGAGAGAATGACCAACTTTGGGCAACAAAAAAGAGAGAAGTGTTTCAAGGAAGGGAGAGTGGTATTATGGTTGTCAAGAGTTGGGCAAACTAGACAGTACGAGTGACCCAGTGAATAGAAGAAACAAAGGTATGGTGCAGACTGCGATGTGGTTGTTTTAATATTTGTAAAACAGACCACCGATACCATGCTACTCGCTGGAAAACTCTATAGTAATGCTAAAATATCTCTTCTAGAAACGCCTCGGTTGAACAAATACATCGTGGTTTTTAGAATGTGAAAAAGCACCCAAAGAATACCAATAATTCCTGTAACATCTCACAGTTCAGAAACAAAGTAGTACCACGAAGATCAAAGCCTGATGAAAAGCAAAGAAGATATGATGTGTTGATGAACTCCTGCTTGGAATGATCTAAATCTCTCCTGCAATGCAGAATTTATGGGAACTGTTTGGATTTTTTGCTACTTAACCCCCTGTGTAGCTGAAGTACACTTGCATTGGGTCAGGGGAATACGTTTCCAGAGAACTCTGGTTTTTCGTATCCGGCAGTGTACAACGTCGTATTTGAACAATCTGTGAAAATTTCAAATACTGTGAAAATTTATTGAAAAATAATAATTATTAAAATACTTTGTAACTGGTTAATGATAAATGTGTGAATGAAAAATTGTGTATGTATGTGCTTGTGTGTGGTTATTAGCAAAAAAATATGATAAGCGTCATGACTCCTGTCTCATTTACAATTTATGTGATGCGTACTTTAAGTCTCCACCCCAGAAGAATTATATGGTTACGTCGCACATTCGAAATTTACTAAAACTCGTCGGGAGAATAACCCCGTATGCTTGCGTGTCTCGTGTAAAGCCGGTTTTCCACCAGGCGGAAATTTGTGACTTCTCGGATGGAACTAATTCGGAAAAGACAAAGAAAAATTTCTCTCCGTGCGTAAAATTCCGCTTTGTGGAAAACCGGCTTATCCCGCCAATGCATTATGGTTATTATGGTTCAGGGTACAGCCAATTGCAGTTGAGCTTGCAGCTTGCATTTTAAACGCGTTGTTATATCGTTGAAAAGTATGCGTTCATTCCTTAGAAACACGCCGTTGCTAGGGGCGTAACGTGAACTTTTGGCGGGCATTGTTGAACTTCTGAACGGCGTGCAAACAAACGTATAACGAGTTAAATATATTGTAAAAACGCCGCTTAAGCCTGCGACGGAACAGTAAGGTATTTTTAGAATGCCTGCAGTCAAATTAGAACTCCCTGGTCGGTTTTGTGACAAAATCTAATTTAATTCGCCAACGCCAAGAATAGAAAAACATGTTTACGTCGTTACAACGCGCGCCAAAAGTTCACGTTACGCCCCTAGCAACGGCGTGTTTCCAAGGAATAAACGCATACTTTTCAACGATGCAACAACGCGTTTAAAATGCAAGCTGCAAGCTCAACTGCAATTGGCTGTAAAATTTGTGACTTCGTGCCAATTACGTGAAGGTCATTTGACCACGGCCCAATGCCTGTAACGGGTATAAGACACTTAAGTATAGCAACATCTAGTAACGGGCCTAGCAAGTGGGGACAATTTTCTGTCGGTGGGGGCCAACAAATAGGACCTGGGGGGCCAAATGTCCCCTATGTCTCGTGTGAACTGGATATTTAGACCGAAATTCCCTCCTCAGATCTAGACCTGAAAACCTTTCTCAACCTTTCTCAAACCTTTCTCTCTTTTTTTTTTTTTTTTTAAATAAAAAATAAAATAAAATAAAATAAAAGGTACAGAATGGGTACGGGGTAGGCATAGCGGGTGTGCCATTTTGAGTATTGCATTCCACATGCACAGAAGAGCTTTGCTTTTTCGGGGGGGGGTAACCACACCCCATAGAAATAATAGACTTGTCTATTATTTCTATGCCACACCCTCCTCTACACGCGGAAAATATAAGGAATGCGGTTCCCATGGAAAGTATTGAAAATATGTACGTACAAGCCGGCTTTACCAAGTTACATACGCAAAACGAACTGTGTTAAATTAATATTTTGGGAAGAACATTTTAGCGCAAAAATCACGTGCGTGTGGCCTAAAATTTTGAATATTTTACATATTGAGGGAAATCCCTTTCATGGCAGGTTGGGAGAATTTCTCTTCGAATCAGAAATTATTATAAAACGCCTTCAGTTCAATTCGCTGTTAAATTATAGCGCCAAGTTTAACTCAAAACCTTGTACAGTACTTTGCTCATAAGAAATTATCTTATTTAAAATATATAAAACATGTTTTATTTTGGAGAGTATTTGAGATGAATTCGAATTTTATGAGTGAAAATTTGTGCAAATATCTCCGCAGTGAAGCCCGGGTAAACTGGTTTGACCGGAGAACCGGGTTAAAGCGGTGTGAACTGGCTCAATCCGCGAGGCTTGATGAACTTTGTAATGGTGTTAGATGAAAAAGCGGCCAATACGAACTGTAACTACTGAACCTTTATGAAATTGAAGCGCTTTCAATGCCTGTTGCAATGACTACTGTCGAACAAGCGACTACATTATTGGATTTCAACCAAAAACTTGATATAAACCTTCTAGACACTGTTGTCTCGTGCTTCTACAGTAGCGAGGGCCCAGAGGTATATTCATTGTGTATTCTACTATGGACTCTTGAAGCGCTTTGCCGTTGCTTATTTGCTTTATAAGTGTGGAATAAACATCCACAATATGCCCTATTTAATAATATTTTCTTTTCTTTAGCAAAAGGCTGCGGATCAAGTCTTAACACAGCTGAAACAGCACCCAGACTCGTGGACAAGAGTTGACAGCATACTCGAATATTCGAAAAGTTTACAAACAAAGGTATTTATAATAATTAATGTAATACATAGTATTCGTTGTTTACTGAAAAAATACCCACCCAAAAAGCATCAGGAGTTTTATATGATTTTTTCTCATTTATTTTATAGTATTTTGCATTACAAGTTTTGGAAACTGTGATAAAAACTCGTTGGAAAGTTTTACCTCGGGAACAATGCGAAGGTAGATTGCCTATATAAAATATCTTTACAACTAATATCTGACAATTTCAGTAAAGTATTCCTCAACGTTTTTTTAGGAATAAAGAAATATATCGTTGGCCTTGTTATAAAGAACTCAATGCATGCAGATAATCAAATTGAGGTACAAAATTTTATTCTGTATTTTTGTAATATTCTATTTTTTTCACAAAAAAATTCATAAAGTATGTCAGAGCTACTTTAACACCAAAAGTTTGAATGATTTTTTTTTATTTTTTAATAGAAAGATAAAGCATACTTAGGGAAATTGAATATGATTTTGGTTGAGGTAAAAGTTCAATTTTCAACCTGTTAGAACTGGATAGTACTGGACTGGTATTGATTGAGCAATTCAGAAGTTGCACTTATGCAACATTGAAAATCGACCCTGTCTTGTCCTGTCTTGTCTTGTGTAGTAAATTTTGCTTGCCGAAGAGATCTTTTCGTTTGCAGTCATATTTTATATTGCAGTTTAAGTTGTGGGTAGAAATTATTTACATTATAGTGGGCAACTAGATTTTGTGGGCAGAATAATTTAAAGTTAAATAAATGGCAGGTGTGAATGATAATTTGGTTTGTATAGCCAAATCTGTCTGATAAATTGGCCTAAAAACACAGTTTCTGAGGAGAAAATGTGATTGCAGCAACCTCTATATGTTTTTTCATACAAAAATCTAACAGGATGTATGTTTTTATTGGACAAGGTTTTTTTACACTGATCTCTCTAAGTGTAGTGGACTATAAAATCTACATGAAGGTTCTGAACATTCATTTGAAAATTGGACAAGATTAAATTAATGGAAGTTGCACTGCACCACAGTGCATGCTACTTTATTATTTTATTTTCGCAAGGACAAGCACTGGAAGAAGAACACTGGTGCTCAATTTGGTTAAATTAACTGCTGTACTATAGACTATAGTCCTACCTAAAGCTGTATTTTAAGACTACCAAAGGAGTGTAGTCTAGTCCCTCTACATGATGAGGCCCACTTACATGTATTGTATGATTTGAATATTACTTTTATTAATGTGTTTGTATTCAATGACATATTAATTTTTCAACCTTAATTTAATTAAAATTAAAAATTTCTGCAAATTGGGTTTCCTGATATTTTTAACCTGTTCTGCACATGTGCTATGTGAGGGACCTACAACATCTTCCAAATTAAAGCTCTAATCTATATTCATTTAAAAGCATAGCGAACCAGAATGATGTTATAAGCACAAATAAACTGTTATTGTTGTTAACCCATTGAGTGGCAACACTCTCCACTTGATGAGTAAAATCATCTGGCATTAGATGGGTTAAGCCAAAATTGAGCAAGCCCTCTCTAAAGTTCATGGCATATTATAAATATCCTTATTGCCCTTCCAGATCCTGAAACACGAATGGCCTAAAAACTGGCCAACATTTATCAGTGATATTGTTGGAGCTAGCAAAGCAAACGAAACGATTTGTGAAAACAACATGAAAATTCTGAGATTACTGAGGTATGATGTTATTATCACATAAGATTATCACATTGATTATGCAGGGTGTATAAAAAAAACGCAACCTCGGAATTTCCTAAGAAATCCACTTTGCAATTCTTAAGCATAAAAGATTTTAGGCCCCTGGCAATTGAAATCGAATTGCTAATAGATCATATATTACTGTTGTTGTTACTGTACTCTTGCAAAATATAAACTTATTAATTTAATAAACATTATTTAATTAAAGAATAGTTTCATTAAACTTTATCATTTGTTTTTAATTGATTTTTCCACAACAGCGAGGAAGTGTTTGATTTCTCCAGTGGGCAGCTAACACAGACAAAAGCAAAACATCTCAAGGATTCAATGTGCAGCGAGTTCTCACAAATTTTTACACTCTGTCAATTTGTAATGGTATGAAAAAAAACATTAAAACCAATCATAGGAGGAAAAAATTAGGGGATGGACAAAAATTTGCAGCCAATCATTATTTTGGTTGGGTAGTTTGTGCTTAAAAATCAAGAAAATTGCACTTAAAAATTGGGGAGTTCTACATAAAAATCTGCCAAATAATTAAAGATAATAATAATTAATAAATAAGAAGAAATCCAAATAGGAAGAAATCCACATAGGAAGAAATTGAAAATAGGAAGAAATCCACTTTTTCAAAGCGTCTTTTATTAAATAATGTTTCGAAAATTTTTTCAAAATTGTTAAGTCTGGCAATTTATTCAAGATTGGACAAATTTTTGTCTGCCCCCTAATGTATTCCTCTTGTACGCCTATGTGACATATCAACTAATCTTTCAAAACAACAGATGATGTATTTTTATGCATATCTCTGCAGACATGCAGAACTAATTTGGTTAATGAATCACTTACATCACAGAGTAGAGACATACAGAGCTGCAACTGACCATCGTAACACGTACACGTATGTACCCACTTTTTTCAGGCGACCAGACAAAAAAAGATCAACTGCGCGTGCTCAGCAAGTAGTGAGTCGTCGTCCAATCAGATGCATGCATCTAGTAACTTGCCGAGCATGTGCACAAAAAAAGTGGGTACACTAGTTACAACTCTGTATGTCTCTCCTCTGTGCTTACATGCCTGTGACATCTTTTATCCCCCATTACTGTAGTTAAGTGCCTACTTGATGTACAATGGCCATGTTTTTCAAATTTAATAGCCGGGTTTTTCATCATTTTGGTTATTTCAGTTTTTTAAAAATTTAAAAACATCTTTAGTCTACTGTTACAATTGCAGCATTGAAGTCACAGTTTGTGGAAGGTGGATGCTATTACAGCTGCATCATCAAAGTCACTGTTTACTAATTTTCACAATTATTTGTTGTCAGGAAAATTCTCAAAATGTTCCACTGGTTGAAGCAACTTTGCAGACTCTGCTAAGATTCCTAAACTGGATTCCACTTGGTTATATCTTTGAGACAAAATTAGTTAGCACATTAATATATAAGGTATATACAAGGTGTTGTGTTTACCCATTCTGCTTTGCATTTTAGGATGAATTTTCATTGTCCGTTGTGTGATACTATACTTTAGTTATTTTTTATTTCTTTTGTAGTTCCTAAATGTTCCTATGTTCAGAAATATAACTTTGAAATGCTTGACAGAGATTGGTATGACTTGATTCATTTCATTTTAACCCTTTGAGTGGCAATGTGCACTGATGCATCCTACTTTATTATTTTACTTTATGATTTTACTCAGCAAGGGGAGAGTGCTGCCACTCGATGGGTTAATATTTCTGTCCTGTATTCTAATCAATAAATTTTCCCATTAAAAAGAACTTTTGTAATATTTTTTCAGCTGGTATAAGTGCGTCACAGTATAATGAGCAGTTTATACAACTCTACACACTAACAATGACACAATTAAAACAGGTATTACATCAAAGAATATCATAGATAAACTACTTTTTCCACCCCCTTGAAGAGTTGAGAGCAGTCAAAGACATAAGAAGTTAGTGAGGAGTAGTGTTCTGATTGCAATTATTTCTCATGTTAGATGCTTCCACTATCCACAAACATCAAAGAAGCATACACAAATGGCAGAGATGATGAACAGAAATTTATTCAAAATTTAAGTTTATTTTTATGCAGCTTTTTGAAGGAACATGGACAGCTTATAGAAGCTAAGGTACTGTGGAAATAAATCCTTTTATTAGTCAGTTTATATATCAGGTCAACTGCATTTGCTAAAGTCTTGTAGAAACATCTGACTCTGAGATTTGTGTAATTTATGAAATGCAATGTGATTGTCTCTTTAGGTTGATCTTCATACAACATTGTTAGAGGTAAGACTGAACAATTTTTGGTATCCAAGGAGGCAGAATTACTTGGGTGTATGAGGCCGTACAACTCCGGACACTCCCCCTATAGCAACTAGTGCATCCCCAAGCTACTAGCACAATCCTCTAGTATCCCCTTCCATAACTCCCCCTCATGAGCGCAATCCTTCAGCACATGTCTCCTTCAGCACGATTACCCCAAACAAGTCTAGCCTCCCTCTCAGGTGATTTAATAAACACAACCCCCCGCTGATTCCAGTGGCCTCCTTTCCTCCTCTCTAATTAATATTTCAACACGTGCCTCCACAATATGACCATCTAACAACATCCCCTGCTTCCTGCCAGCACAACTTCCCCCCTCCCCTCTGTCAGCACATCCTAAACAGATCCTCAACCCCAGAAGCTCCCTTGTACATTTTTGTCTCTTGTACATTTTTGTCTCTTGTATATTTGATATTTAGTCACTTCACTACCTGGTGTTGATATCTGAAGTTGAAGAGATTGAAATCTTCAAGATATGTTTGGAGTACTGGAACAGTTTAGCTGGAGATTTATATCGAGAAAGTCCTTTCTCATCATCTACCAGTCCTTTGCTTATTGGCACCATACAACAGCAACATGTACCTCCTAGGAGACAGATATACTTGCAAGTTCTATCCAAGGTAGATGGAAGAAAGAATAAGTATAATTTATGATTGTGAAGGGAAAATATTGCGAAGTTTCCAAAAGATCATACTGCACATTCACTGTTTTGACTCCAGTCCATGGCTGTGGAAACTAGAGAGACATGGAAGATGCAACAGTATAATATACTGAAATTTATGTTTTTAAAAAGACCTGAAACGTAAATATCAGTAATATACAGATATTGGTTTCTAACTATGTGATACTTTACTTTAGGTTCGGATAACAATGATATCAAGAATGGCCAAACCGGAAGAGGTAAGGGTAGTTCTGCCCAGCTGGTGATGTGTGCTGGTGATTTTATGGTGGTGATGTTTATATGGTGCTGATGGTTATATGTGCTTGATGGTTATATGTGCTGATGGTTATATGGTAGTTCCTCTTTGCAGCTGCTTCATTGTTTCACTATAACTTTGCAGTATTTATTATTTATTATTAAATTAGCCAGCCCTGATGTAGACAGTATAATTTAGTGGTTTAGATTTACATTTGCAGATACATTAATGGCTGTCAATTTCTGTGCCGTACAGGTTCTTGTTGTTGAAAATGATCAGGGAGAAGTTGTACGAGAGTTTATGAAAGATACAGATGCAATCAACTTGTATAAAAATATGAGAGAGACTTTAGGTATTGACTAGTATTTTTACCTATGAATGTCCATACTACAGTACAATTGTCTGCCATTTAATAGACAGAGTAAAAAGTAAAGGTAAAGTTCTGCACCCCACTGGGATACCAGGATTCAAAGTTCCAGTATATCCCATCGTGTTTCCTACTTTTGGATACTGGTTAAGGCTGGTCAAGAAGGCAGACTTGTAGTACTCAAAGATATTGGGATACCACCAGAGTCATTTAGCAACACTACAATTTAGTTTGAAATTTTGTAATATATCCAGTCTGGATATAGTAGCTGGGAAAGTTTTTTCAAATTACTATTTCTATATTAATTTTAACAGTATATTTGACACATTTGGACTATCAAGACACAGAAGCACATATGACTGAAAAACTTCAAGCTCAGGTTGATGGTACTGAATGGTCGTGGAAAAATCTGAATACGGTAGACATTGACTGTCTTATATCTGCATTGCTTCTTATCTTGAATCTCTCAAGATACACATAACCACATCCAGACTGGCACTTTTCAGTTTGTGAATGCAAATCGCTATGAATGCCCTTCAAAGTTGAGCAGCACCATGGATAGTTTAAACTGACTGATGTTTTTTTCCTAGTTATGTTGGGCGATTGGGTCCATCAGTGGAGCAATGCACGAGGAAGATGAAAAGAGATTTTTGGTCACAGTTATCAAGGTACAGTAGATGTAATATGTAACAGCTTTTTCTTACAAAAGTTGAAAAATTAACTATCCTGGAATGGCGCTAACCAATCTTTGTAGTGTATGTGGATTTTTTCTTAAGATATATGCCTTTTCTTTTTAAATGTGTTTTGTTTGTTTTAACATGGTATTGTTTTTATGTATTTTCTAAGGATTTACTTGGTTTATGTGAAATCAAGCGAGGGAAAGATAACAAGGCAATCATTGCTTCAAACATTATGTACATTGTTGGACAGTATCCTAGATTCCTCAGGTAGGAACACTAAATCACAACCATCCAGTTCATTAATAGAGAGGTTCAGATTTGACTTACAAACGTCTCACTGACTTAGTAAGCATCTGATTGGTTCATCAGATATATCAAATGCATCTGATTGGTTCATCGGATATATCAAATGCATCTGATTGGTTCATCAGATATATCAAATGCATCTGATTGGTTCATCAGATATATCAAATGCATCTGATTGGTTCATCGGATATATCAAATGCATCTGATTGGTTCATCAGGTATATCAAATGCATCTGATTGGTTCATCGGATATATCAAATGCATCTGATTGGTTCATCGGATATATCAAATGCATCTGATTGGTTAATGGTCCCTTAATAGTAGCGGTACTGTAGTTGGAAGTAAAATCTGAACCTCGCTAATGTTTCTGGTAGACTGTTTAGTCAAATTAGGCCTCAATCATATAAGTATATCTGTGGTAATAATGTTAACGTTTGTATATTTTTCCAGAGCACATTGGAAATTCTTAAAAACTGTTGTCAATAAACTATTCGAATTCATGCACGGTAAATGTATTATACAGTTTCGTGATTATTTTTTACGAAAATGTGTTTAAATTTTTCTCCAAAATTCATCCCACATTTGTGTTGATAAATTCTTAGAAACTCACGACGGTGTTCAAGATATGGCCTGCGATACGTTCATCAAGATAGCACAGAAATGTCGACGACACTTTGTCCAGGTGAATATAATGTTGAGCATTGAAGAATAGAGTAGAATCCAAGAATAGTGTGATGGTAGAGTAGACTAAAGGCCCGTTCACACTTGCAATTTTTGCTTCGATTACTAGCGCGATTTTCTTCTTCTGACGCATGTGAAAGAGTGGATAAGTATGAATGTTTTGAGTACATGTTCCTTCATCTGAGCATTCATAACTCATCCACTCCTTCACATCTATCAGAAGGAGAAATCGCACTAGAAATCGCAGCAAAAATTGCAAATAAACGGGCCTTAACAAACCAGACTGCATTAGGGAACATTGCAACTTCATGAGTTCATGCGCACATAGTTAATTCGTATTCTTATCGATTTTTAACTGGAAAAGAAAAATGGTTATTTTACAAAAGAAATTGTCGTAAATGGACAAATCAGACAGGTGAGAACAGCACTTGCAATGCCTTCAGTATCAAGATAGACCGAGAATGGATACCGTTTGCCGCGGTTAAACATTGGTGGATGATGATGCTCAACTTGTTGACAGTAGTCTGTAAAGGCTGGTCTTACACTATCAAAGTTTCTGTGATCACAGTAGGAATTTTGCATACAGGTAGGTGTAAAATTCTAAGTTTTGAAGAATTTGCAAGAAAAGTTTGAGGGAACTGATTTAATGTTAAACACCGAGTCACTTCCCTCAAACATTTCTTAGAAACCCTTCAAAACTTAGAACTTACCTATGCAAAATTCCTACTGTGATCACAGAAACTTTGATAGTGTACGTAGATTGAAAGCTTGTGGTTGCGCTAATAATGTAAATTAGACTCTGGGTGTCTGCGCGTTCGTCATAACTACTGTATACGTAAGTTATTGATTGTATGATAGTAGCGTCACGCAATACCGGTACAATAAATTATAACCTACAATATCTCCATAAATCGTTCTTCATTCACACTCTGTTGTGAGTCAAGCTGGTCTAAGAAAATTTACAATGTTTTCTTACTACGATAACTGTCAGATGACCAGCTTTACGATAGTGCTTAATAGTGAAACTCCTGTTTCAGTGAAGTTCCATACATATGCTTCAAGGATTTTTAAAATTTTATTCAGGTTCAAGTTGGAGAAGTGATGCCATTTATTGAAGAAATTCTCAACACAATTCAAACTATCATATGCGATTTACAACCTCAACAGGTAAATGCGAATTGAATGTTGCAATTTTCTTCACAGGCCTAAGAAAAAATAGCAAGTTGTATATTTTTATCATAAAATACCAAAAATGAGAATGTTGTCTCTGTTTTTAGATTCACACGTTCTACGAAGCTGTTGGGTACATGATAAGTGCACAATCGGTAGGTATGCTGTGGTTATATAGTCTTGGGGTGAGAGTGTTTTCATCATTCACACATGTTTTCATAAACATTCATCATTCTTAGGATTCAGTTGTACAAGAAAGATTGATTGAGAAATACATGTCGTTACCAAATCACGTCTGGGATAACATTATCAAGGATGCAACCAAGGTAGGAAACTTGTCTGCTACATGTTTACAGACCTACCAAGTCTCACGATTTAATCGTGAGACTCACGATTTTTTATGCTTTCTCACGATTAAGTCCCCAAATCTCACGATTTTCGGCAAAATCTCTGCTAAAACCACAAGTGATTCCAAACACCCGTGGAAAAAAAGAAATATGCTATTATTTCGTGAGACTTGACACTGGAAGCTACTGAAGCCATAAAGATTAAAGAAAAAACAGCCTATTTTTAATAAGCCTTGCATTACGGTTATATTAACAAAATATAAATGCATACTATCCTAAGATTGAATATCTATTGATTATTTTCTAGTGTTGTTAAAGTTAACCCTGGTCATATTAATGAGCAATCCTGAAAATTTCTAAGTCTCACGATTTTTCAGCCAATCTCACGACTTTTTAGATAGCAATTCACTATTTTTGCTACTCTATAGCCTGGTTTACACTATTGGTTATTGCCAAGTACGTCTTTTTAATTAAACCATGGATAATAAAATAAGTGGATAGGAAACTAGCTGACGTGACCCAATGTTTTCAATGGGCTGATGGCGTGATTGCATGTTGAAACCTAGTTGCAAACCAAATTCTCAAAAACGGCATGTTTAGCAATAATACAGCTAAACATTTTAGTCAAAGAGCAAATAAATATAACTATGCCATTCTACGATGAAAACTCTAAGTATTTCCAGTCAATTTTAGCAAATATTTCAAGCACTATACAGTGAAAAATGCATCGCAAATTTCGTTAAAATTGGTGACGCCAATTTCGTAGCTGCAAATGTTAAAAAATAGAAAAACAAAGACGAAAAACATTTACCTTGAATACTTTGTCGTGGCTTAGGCATGTTTTTAAAACAATTAGACCAGTTTATGCTTCAATATTACTCTCTTAAAGCGGAAAATATAGCGAAACAACAAAAATGCTGAGAACTTTGGTATATATATGCAATACGCGTGACGTCACAGATTGCAACTAGGTTTGGACTGTGACGTCAGGAAGTTTCCTATCCAGTTATTTTACAATCCATGATTCAACAAATGCGTGTGTGATCTTTCAGAATGTCGATACATTAAAGAACATCGAAATCGTGAAACAACTCAGCAACATTTTAAAAACAAACGTCCACGGTTGCAAAGCGATTGGTCATCCGTTTGTCACGCAACTTGGTCGGATATACCTGGACATGTTGAACGTTTATCGATGTTTGAGTGAAAACATTTCCTCGGCTGTGGCGGCAAACGGACCCGTGGTTACCAAGCAACCACTGATACGCGCAATGCGTGGCGCGAAAACCGAGACGTTGCGCTTGATCTCGACGTGGGTCGGTAGATCTAGTGATGCGAAACTCGTTTGTGATAACTTCATCCCGCCATTGTTGGAAGCAGTCCTCGGAGACTATCAGAGGAACTTGCCGGCAGCACGAGAACCGGAAGTACTCAATACCATGGCAACGCTGACGAATAAACTCGGGGTAAGGATGTCATGTACAGCCTGTGTTTTGGGTGCTCTGCTTCAAATTTGTCACTAGGTGTTATTGCTGTAACATTTGATTCCCCTAAACGCGCAAATGTTCTCCGGTTTCCTCCCTTAAGCCGGTTTTCCACTTCAAGCGTACCGTACCGAAACGTATCAAAAACGTTTTTAAATTTCAAAACTTAGAATTTACCTGTGCAAAATTCCTACTGTGATCACAGAAACTTTGATAGTGTAAACTAGCCATATAGAGCTGTTTTGTCATTAGTGATAAAATTTGTGTTAAAAATTTGTTTTTCTTAGCATTTTGTCACGGAACAAGTACCACAAATATTGGATGCCCTCTTCGGCTGTACGTTGGAAATGATCAACAAAGTAGGAAGTTAAATAGTTTTCTGAAAGTATTTCTGTAATTGTTGCTTCTTGGTGTTCCTAATTTTACTTTACTTTCTTAGGATATGGAGGAGTGGCCTGAGCATCGAACGAATTTCTTTCTCCTTCTTAAAGCCGTCGTGGAACATTGTTTTTCTGGTACGATCGCCATTCCCTGTGTAACTCTTACTGTTTTTACAGTCGATTTCGCATAACGTTTCCCTAAATGTTGCGAACTTCGTTCCCAACTTCGTTGCGAAGTTCAAAAGTTCATATTGAAAATGAAATTCACAAGCTGGATTGTAAACAAAGCCTCTGATTGGCCCCTGAACTAAAAGAAGCCAATCAAATACATTGTTTACGAGACCAACGTTGTTGAACCGACATTGTTGTCCTCACTATATGAGGGTAATGTTGGTTGATGTTGGACAGAGGTTTGACTTTGAAATTTTCGTCCAACGTCGTCCAGCATTAAGCCGCCCATTTCCACTCAGGAAATTTTCCACAGAAAGAAAATTTAGTAAAATGTGATTGGCCGACACAAATTTTCCGTCGGAAAAAAATTTTGAAGTTGAAAATTTTAACGATGATATTTTCGGAAAATTTTCTGTCCGTGTAAAATTTTCTTGAGTGGAAATGGACCTTTAGACAGGGTTCGTACAAAACTTGAAAGTCCTTGAATGTCCTTGAATTTGAAAACAAAAATTCAAGGCCTTGAATGTCCTTGAATTTGTAAAGAAGTACTTGAATGTCCTTGAATTCTTCTTGCTTTAGTTTTTGGATATTTTCTGAAATTGTTTGACATTCAAGACGGACATTTTGTTGAACTGATTTTGCATGTTCATATCTGACCTCATTATGAAGTTACGTTTTGAACAATTCAACGTCAGATTTTGCTGATTTCTAACGCCTTCTTCAGTATTAGTCCTTGAATTTGTTGATACATGGCCTTGAATGTCCTTGAAAAGTCCTTGAATTTGACTCTTCCTGACATGTACGAACCCTGTTTAGAGAGGTTCAGATTTGACTTATAAAGCTAGTGAGAGGTAGTGGTAGTCAAATATGAACCTCTCTATTGTTGGACCAACAACGTTGGACGGCCTTAATAATTTTCGGTTTCAGTAAGCCTTACGGGACAGCATTTGGTGATCCAGTTCAGAAATGCTAAAGGCTGCTTCACCATAATTCTCAAAGAAACGTACGTATTGCCCTGTTGTTAATATTGGCTGTTTTCTTGCCTAGCTTTGTTAAAAATCCCAGCAGAGCAGTTTAAACTGGTATTGGATTCCATCGTTTGGGCGTTTAAACACACGATGCGAAATGTCGCGGATACTGGTAAGTAAATTTCGTCGTTACAATTGGGGTGTACCGAAATTAATTGTCCATGCCTAGTGCTGAATGTAAACTTAAAGGTACACGAGCATAGAAATATTTCTGTTTCTACACATTCTAGGCTTGGAAATTTTGTATTCATTGTTGAGAAGTGTGGAGAAGGCCGAGAGTTCCTCACAGAATTTCTATCAAACGTATTACACTATGATCTTACAACATATATTTTCTGTTGTTACCGATACATCACACACAGCAGGTAAAGCTTACGTTAAAGATGTTTTGTGGATAAAAGGTTAGAGCGAATTATATATTTTAGACCTAACCCGAAGCAGTTGGGAAAAATGCAACTAAATACATCCGGTAGGAATGCGTTCCTGCATTTTCCTGCATGCGATTCCAGTGCAAGCGCTCTCGTCGCTGATGTATACAGTCCAGTTGCCAAGAGCAACCACAAGTTCATGTAATGGCTAGCAGTGAGCGAATCAATCTGCAAACTTTGGTAAAAGAGGAGGGAGGGCATTGGGGGCAACGTAAATAAAGTAATAAACAGACTGCCTGTCAGGTTTGCGGCGCCCTTCTAAGACGTGTATCTAAATTGTGAATTTATTCCGTTTTCCACAGGTCTCAATCACCATGCAACGATTCTCTCACACATGTTTCATTTACTGGAAGCTGGCAAGGTTGTTGCTCCTCTTTACGATCCTGCTCAATATCCTGGCGTCACAAATAACCATGTATGAGATATTCTACACATTTTAATCTTCCTTTGTACTTGAAATTTTATCCTATAACATGTTTGAAATAAACGACAAACTATTTCTTCAGGAATACGTTCATCAGTACGTCTCCAATCTTTTGAAGCAAGCGTTTCCACATTTACAACCGTAAGTAAAGCCTTGCCAGTTCTGAAACTTCTAATAAATACGTTAAACTTGTGTACTATTAATTTAATACTAATATCGTTTATTTCAGAGATCAAGTTCGTATATTGGTTGAAGGTTTCTTCACGTTAAATCAAGATATTCCCGCGTTCAAAGAACATCTCAGGGACTTCCTGGTTCAAATCAAGGTTATTTTCTTCTTCTAATTCGTCTCAGAGCCATCGTTTTGTGGTAAAACGTATTTAGGGTACATATATCGGAGTTGATAAAAGATGAACGCGTAAAGACTGGTCTCTTAAGCCACACTAGGAATTCTGTCGGTGATTTTCCTCCTGGCAAATGTGATCGAAGGAATGACATGCAAAAGACGTAGAATTGTTTACTTCTGAAAAGTGACTCTATACTGTTGTCACTTTTATGTGCGAGTTCACTCATTTGCATCCGTCAGAAACACAAATCGCCGACAAAATGGCTAGTGTATGAACCTTGAACAAGCTGTGCTCACAACTTCAGACTAGAGCGACTTTGTATTGGATGGCTCTATCATTTCTAGAGATCCAATTTCTAGACATCATTTCTAGAGATCCACATTCATTTTTTTCCGCATTTATTGTTCTCAACATACATCTTGCTCGTTCTAGGAATTCCGTGACGAGGACACGACTGATCTTTTCTTACTGGAACGTGAAACTGAACTGAAGAAAGCTCAAGAGGAAAAACGACAAATCCAACTGACGGTACCAGGGATAATTAACCCTCATGATCTCCCGGAGGAAATGCAAGATTAGCTTGCCCCTCTCCCCACACCCACTTCCACGTTTTATCACCACCTCATCATGCCCCCCTCGCGCACACCGCGGAGCGAGGGCATGTTTTTGTAAAAAGCCGAGGTGATTTACCATTTTTAAACTGGTTTTAGCCAGAAACCACCATAGAAAGTTATTCTGTTTAAGGGTATGGAAACTGTCCTACCCTACTACAATGAAACCAGTACCATGGCTCTGATAGTTCATGACGGGATCACCGTTGCTATAGAAAATTATGATACCACTAGACCAGTGATATGAAAGATACCCAGGAAAACACTGTTACCATGGTAACGGTACCACTTATACCATAGAAACATGTACCAACGGCCTGGCAATGAAAGCACTAGGCGTTTGCTAGAAGATTATACCTATTACCTCTAACCACCATCGTTCAGACCAAGACCTAATACTAACTCTAAATTTAGCATCTGTTTTCCTCTGGTAGTAAAAATCCTGTTTTACTTTTCCTTGCGTTCTTTAATCTATCCCTAAATTTCCTCTTGTGTTCCTCCTGTACTCTTTCATGGAAATTGAAGCTTTAGAGCAGCCAAGAACAAAAAGTAAAAAAGTATTCTAGCTGAATATTATTATATTTGCTGTAAATACGAATGCATATTTTTAGAAAAATAAAAGAATGGTAAGATTATATAGTTCAATCAGGTTTCGTCCAATGTTGGAGCTCTGGCTAGTTTTACGCATTACAACCAAATTTGATTCTCACACTCCAGAAGGCAAACTGGAAATATACTAATGCTTTTTGTATTACAACATTTACATAGTAAAGCCCAGGTCACACTACACAACGATAACGATACGATAACTTGTATACGCGCGCTGATTGGTCAAAAATTTATCGTTATCGTCCGACTGAAAAAAAATCGCTCAGGTGAGCGATTTTAAAATCGTTATCGTTATCGTCTAACGATAATTTTATCATTTTCGTTGTTGTGTGGACACTAACACAATTTTTTTGACAATTATCGCGTGTTTACAATTTATCGTATCGTTATCGTTGTGTAGTGTGACCGGGCCTTAAGCGAAATTTTTCTATATGATCAGATACAGGAGTACTTGATGTATAGATCAATAATCGCATTTTTTGTGTAGCCGATTGTTCTCTTGAATAGGGTTGGGCGATATTTCGATATTTTGATTTATCGCGATATTTTCAATCGCGATTATCGTATCGAAGGTAGAAACTTGAGGGACGATATATCGAAATTATCGTCATGCTCAATGACTATCGTGATATTGTTTCGCATGTGCATATAGCTGTTATATAATCGTAAAAAGATCATTCAATTGCTAGAAAATATAGTTTTTAAAAGAATTAAAACTATTTCCTGAATTAAATACGAATTTAATACGATACAAAAGCTAACTGATATTTATGTATTAATCTGCTGATTGCCTGCGCTGTGTGCCCACGGCATTGTGCCAGCGGCGACACAGTAGACACCATTGAACTAGACACTGCATGGACAGTTATTATATTAATAGACTAAAAAAGCCTTCATATTATCTTATATGTAAGCTTACTATGCTTTGATACTAATTAAAATTGAAAAAATGTGGTCATTGTTTTTGTTGCATTTATCGCGATATTATCGAATATCGTGATAATTTCCTTGACAATAATCGTGAGATGATTTTTTTAATATCGCCCAACCCTACTCTTGAAACAGTTCTCCACGCGAAGCGAAACCTGGTCGAATCGTGGTCGAAACGGAGAAAAGTAATTCGAAATGAAAAGAAGATAATCCCGTGTTGACAAATACAAGGAAAGCTTGTCCTGTCTTTATTTACGTGTTTTATTCAGCGCTCTGTGGCAACGATTCTACCCAGTAACAATCTGTAACACAGACGTGAGGAAAGGCATGTACAGCAAATTATCCATAGCAACGAAATATAGCTAATTCAGAATGTCGACTGGACATTCATATTTCGTCTGCTGTGTGAAGCAAAATAATGAAAGCCAGTGGCGTGCTGGCAGGGGGGGCCGGGGGGCCACGGCCCCCCCAGCTGGCAATTTTTGGGGGGCGCAAAAATGAAAAGGGGGCGCCGATCCCGCGCCGAATTTTGAAAGTAGGTGGGAAGAAACGCATTCGAAAAAATATAGTTGCTAATTCCGCCAAGGAAAGATGTGTTTATTGACTTATAAACAGACTAAGCGCATAGGCGACAAAGTGAGTATATTAAATTGCAGACTATTTTGTCTAACCGTATTTGCTACCTAACGACTCACACGAAATCACTCGTTCATATAGAAACATGATCAGTAATCACACGCAGTGTGATCTTACCGGAATATTGATCAGGCTTCGAAGCGATCACGGGAATTATGCTCTTTTTTGCTGGTATTATACCCTTATATTATGCCCTTTATTATGCTTCACGAATCACGAGAGCGGCGCAAATTAGATAGTTGAAGTTATGACAATGTAAAGTTGTGCATACAATTTAGTTGTTTGCGCAAGAAACATTATGAGTAATGTAAGTAATCAGATAATGATGAAACACGCCCTTTTGGCAGCCAGGCAAGGAAACCTTAAAATGCATATGCGTGGGGTCCGTGTGTTATTGTATAAAAGAGCTGTAAGTTGTAAATGTATTCAGATCAGTAGAGAATAAAATTGGGATTAGATTAATTGCTGGAAGTAGTTAGCATTGCCCAATTTAATAGTGCTGCTACTAAATTCTAACCAATTTTCAAATTTCGACACGTTGTAATGCCGTTTCCTGACCATCAGATTTCTGTCAAATCTTCCCCCAAAGTCCAGGAAATGGCATTTCAGAGACTCTAGATTCAAAAATTTTCCTGGGGGGCATGCCCCCGGACCCCCCTAGAACAACCTCGCACCTGCGGCGCTCGGCTCGTGCCTTCGGCCCTCGTTTATCAAGAGTAATATTATAGGGGCGCATATTAGTTGCCAGTCGACTGGCCCCCCCCAGAAAAATAGTACCCAGCACGCCACTGATGAAAGCTGCCTTTAAATGAATATATTTTCTAATGTAAAGTACGGAAACTAATTGTTCTTTGAGCAATTTTTACATATTCACTTTTTGCAATGACTGAAATATTGAGTACTTTATATGTGTATTCCAGGTATGGTGTCCCATGTCCGCCAAAAATCAACTTTTGCATTTCACTATATGATATTTTGAGGATCATATTCATTTCATTAAAATAACAACATTGTTTTTGAAGATCACCGGTTTATCGGTTGAAAACACAACTTATTTTTTGAAGACCAACTTTTGAAGACCAACTTTTGAAGACCAACTTTTAACTTTTGAAGACCAACTTTTGAGACCAACTTTTGAAGACCAACTTTTGATACCCAACCGCAATCCAATGTCTTTGCTGTTCGTGGGCTCATATTGTCGTGATTTTCCGCTAAGGGAAGCCTCACATATCGATTTTTCCACGAGAAACGTCATATGTTCGTTTGGGGGTGGGGGGGAGGGGGGCTGTGACGTTTCTCTGTAAACATCATGGAAAAATTCGATAGTTTTTATCTTTGCAGAATATAAAAAAGAAAATAATTTGATACAAACAGCAGTCTATACATTCGTAATAGCATACCTGTTCTATACCTATGCATTTATATTATTACGGCTTCCTTGCATTGTAAACACTCAAATTTCAAGAAAGGCGCGCTAAAATTATCAATATTTCAATTTCATGCAAAAAGTTGTTTTGAGAAACGTTGGAAATTTTGAAGTTCATATTTATAATAAAACAAGACGCCTGCTCAGGCGTTCACACTGGCCTTAGCGGTTGGTAAAACAGTAAAATACCATCGCAATATTCTAAAAAATAGGTACGTAGTGCTTACATGTTGCATGCCATCAAAACCATGAAACCTCACGACTCAGAATACTATACAGAAATCATGGCCATCTCCATTATTTTCTGTGTACGTGCTATTTGTCATGATTTGTCAGTCGGCAAGTACAGTAAACAGAAGCAGTTACCCCCTGGCACTGAACAAAGATACACAGAAGGTCGATTAGAGCATAGTCCAAAACATGGTCTGGAAACTCAGTAAACTTCAAAGCGGTTATAATGAGCTGGGATTTTACGTTGAGAATATTATAAGGGGGGTAAATGCCTCCCAAAAGCGCACCAGCCAGGACCATGACGTCAGCATTTTGATGATGAATTACGGTCACGCCAAAATCATTGGAAAACCATAAGAAAAACCAATAAATTGGGCTTCTGTATGACCGACCCTGTGCCCTGGTAATGATGCGCGACCGCTTATAACTTTTGGTACAACTGATCTGAAACTTAAAATATTGATTCAATAAGTTTAAGATCAATATATTGTTTGAAAAATAGCTATTATGTCAAAATTAGAAAACTTAAGATTCTCACGCGAATAAGCAATGTTTTTATGAGCGTCTGTTCATCGTTAGTTGCCAACGACGGTAATATAAACAAGGTCAAGGCAGGTCAAGTTTGTATCGAAAGCGATTGACTGTTAGATTTTCTTTTATACTATTTTATAACTAAAAAATGTTATTTCCTACAAATTTAGCTTTATTGTAGCTTTAGTAAAGGTATAAAAAAACCTGGAAACGGTGAATTACTATAGATCGAAAATAATTATTAAACTATGATTGAAATTATCGACGTAGAATGCTATATTTCGTTGTATTAAATTTCAATAGTGTATAAATAGCAATACATTTGACATCCGTAAGTACAATTTCTTATGCTGAATCGAACGGTGGTATTTTTATCCTTATTGCGCCATTAGACATTACAAATACAAAGACAAACGTAGTGCGAGTGATTTGTTATAAATAACAGTACATACTGCGAGCGATTTGTCAATACAATTTCGCTTGATTTTCAAAGGCCATAAATCGCTAGAATACTGGTGTTCAGTAATACACTTGACATCCGTAAGTACAATTTCTTTATACGCTGAATCGTACGGTGTCGCTTTCTTCTCAAAATATAGGAATTGGTTTATAAATCATAGTGAGCATGTGTAAATATGTGATAGCTAAATTCACTGAGCTATAATATTACAGTAATATTATTATAGCTCAGGGGCTAAATTGCGTAATCCTGAGCCCACGATGCCGCAATGGAAAGTCACACTTGCGACTACAAAAAAAGAACCGAAAAAATTCCTCGCATTCCAGCGAGGGCAAATTATAACACTGGCTGCGGCCAGTGTAAAAAAAGTATGTCATATTCCTCGCGGAAGCATCGCCAATAGCCGACCGAAAAAATGTATATAGAAAATTACCTTATTCATGTGTACTATAAGAACAAAATATCGATAAAATGTGTGACGTTTCTAAGGGGGGGTGGGGGGGGGGGTCTCCAGAGAAACGAACATATGACGTTTCTCATGGACAAAATCGATATGTGAGGCTTCCCTAAAATCATCTCTGTCTGAGTAACTACACTTTTTATATATTCAATGTTTTATTTTCCTTATCCATTTTGTGCAGGCTGATGTAAATTCAAGAATATGAATTATTCATATACTGTACAATGTACATGTCAAGTGACTTTATGACTTGGTGTTGGCGGCTCGTATAATATTTTACTTTTGATCAGGTTAGATTGCAGAATACCCCTCCATTTTCTAACATTACACAGTAAGTTGTTGTATTGTTGCTGCAATTTTAGTTGCGATTTTCTCCTTTTGTAGGATGTGAAGGAGAGATTACATAAACATTTATAACTTTAATATCCACTCCTTCACATCCTCCAAAAGGGGAACATATTTCGAGCAGTGGCAGCAGACATCAACTTTTAGAGGGAGGGGGGCAGGGGGAAGCTTGTGTAGGTTTTTAATGTCATGTGTACCATTTGGACACCTAAACAGTGTCGTAGCAAGCTCGATAATTGGGGGAGGGCTGATATTCATATATTCGTGTTCTGTGTTATTAATTTCTTTAGAAATCCATTGTTTTTATGGTCTGTGAACACAAATATATGAATATCAGCCCCCCCCCCCCAAATTATCGAGCTTGCTACGGCACTGCTAAAACCTGACTGTGTGTAATATATTAGGAATTTAGGATATCTATGTTCTAGAACAATACATTATCCTGTTTTTCTCTGTTTATCAATGGGTCATTCCAGAAAACATCCATACCACTCCCACAACTGGAAATTAGAAGTTAACCCCCCTACCCCCTTCGGATATCCTATTGTCTGGATTGGTGTTCTATTTGTTCCATATTGAAAAGAATGTTATATGCCTCTCCAACGTTTGCACATATCGAATAATCAAGATTCATATTTACTATTGTAAAAAATCAAGTTTCAGCATAAGCTCTTGGTAGTCTACATTAGCGTCTCGAGACTGTGAAAAACGGTCGATGGAATTTATCATATCAAAAATTGCCTGTAGCAAGTATTGTTTGTCTTCTTCCTCCATTTTGAAAACATAATAAATGCGCCCGCGAACAACAAAGACATTGGATTGCGGTTGGGTATCAAAAGTTGGGTAATCGTTCCATGTTTCGCGCACCAATATAGTAAACGTTATGTAACGGATATCATAGTGTATTGAAAAGTTTACTAGATACCTCCATACACATATATACACACCCTAACCCTAACCCCAACCCTAAACCTAACCCCTAACCTAACCCCTAACTCCAATACCTAACCGTAACTTATATTGGTGCGCGAAACATGGAATGATAACCAAAAGGGTCCTCAAAAGTTGGTCTTCAAAAAATAAGTTGTGTTTTCAACCGATAAACCGGTGATCTTCAAAAACAATGTTGTTATTTTAATGAAATGAATATGATCCTCAAAATATCATATAAGTGAAATGCAAAAGTTGATTTTTGGCGGACATGGGACACCATATTCCAATCATTCCAGGCTCAGCTACATGTTATATCTGCAGATCGCGCATGGATAATGAGAGAAATTGATGGGTTTGGGACACTGGTTTCAGCATCTTATTGGCAATGTTACGTAGTGTGAAATGTACTGTTTAATAAACGAGCAGGAGTGTTTTATTATAATAGATATGCTGCCTATTAGTATTCTTTATATAAAGAATACTAATGAGGACACGACTACAATAGATACTGCCTTATTAGTATTCTTTAAATAAAGAATACTAATTAGGAGTGTTTTATCAGGTTTAAAACCACTGCACGTGACATATTATGGTTGACATGATTTGCCAATAAGCTTATGAATTATTAATGATGTTGGAAATATTCAGTAATACTAGTCGGTTTGCAAAATCTGGCAAAATTTGTCTTATAAATATTGATGAGTGAGTCGTATTACAATTTCTCAGCTTTTCATCTACACTACAGACTTCGAAGGTTAATTTCTCCGAACTTTCTTGAAGAGTAAAAGTAATATCTTGGTCACCCATTTTAGTGTAATGTAAATTTTCGTTTTGCTGCATCAAAATTTCGCAAAGATCGAGATGTTTAACTGAACAGAGAATGAACATCTCTTTGCCTTCTGTAATTGACAGCAATCTCAAGCTAATTGTAACCTCGATTGTAACATTGAGTACTTCCGAGATTTCGTACAAATATTAATGATGAACATAAACCTTCTTTGATCATGCACGTTTTTATTCAATTCCTGTTAAACTGTTGTTGAAACAAGTCGCCGCGATTCTGTCGCATTGCTGAGGTTAATAACTTTGGGATTAGACACATTTCCGTTCAGGAATAGTATTAAAGTTAATTTTTTTATGCAGTTCCCGCGCGCACAGGAAAATATACACAGAAAAATTTGATTCCTGTATAGACCGGGGTTAGGGGTTTTTGGGGGGTCAAAATCAAAGAGAAATCTATTCGTACGCAAAACATGCGGGTTTTACCCATAAACACTAACGTAATGTATTACATAATACTTTATTTTAACACGCTAGCCTCATCAACTAACTAATGACACAAATAATATGTACAAATTAAAGTTACATCATACAAAAATATATAAACGAAACAAATAAATATTATTGAGGACAGGTCAGCTTCGCCTCGCCGTAGATTTTATAATTCTCTTGAATGAATAAACGGAACAGCGCTTTTTGCTTCAATAGACAGATTATTAGCTCCATTGTATTTAAAACTTCTTTTAAGAAATTCTTTCTTTGGTTTTGGTAATACTAGATCAGTTTCACGATTCCTAAGATCATAAGGGGAATCGCCTTCACTGCATCGTCGAAATAGTTGTTTTAAATTTGGGGCGGCATGGTAATTAATTATTTTCTACATGTAAATAGATTTTGTATATCAACAAATCGAATATCAAAAGTTGACCCCGTTATAACTCTCGCAGCGCGATTCTGCAATCTTTGAAGACCACTAAGACCACTTCCAGAATTGTCCTAAAGAGGGCTACAATAATCAAAGTACGGTTTCACCAGGACATATATTAGCTTAGGGAGCATTCATTTTTTAGCTGGGGGGGGGGGCGGAGGAACTGATGTCTAATTCCATGCTAAAACTTGGAACCCCCAAGAGAAAAGTTGATAAAAAATTATGACCCCCTATTTTTTTACTGAAAAATGTTTTGACCCCTCATCCTAACTATTAATAATCCACACGGTGTCGTTTCCGTAGCGTTTCAGGGCCGTAGGAAGCTCTTTTTTATCGGGGGGCTGACCCACCCTCAAATTCCTCCGGTCCACCCCAGCTAAAAAATGAATGCTCCCTTAAGTGTTTCTCTACTGGTACAAAAGGCTTCATTCTTCTCATAATTCCAGCCCCAACTTTCGCGCAAATATTATCTATATGTTTTTCCCAAGTAAACCTTTCATCCAGGTCAACACCCAGGCATGTGTAGTTTTCCGTCCTGGGGACTGGTACGTTTAAATATATTAATTAAAATTGGGTTCTGAGCAATTTTGTTTTTAATATTAAAAGACGATCCAATATACATATGTTTTGTCTTTGTTGGATGAATTTGAAGCTTATTTTATAACATCCATTTACGGACATTTTCAAGATTAGACTTTATATTGGTATAAATTTCCGTGTCATCTGCATACATAGAAGGAGTGCAAAATTTTAAAGATTTAGGCATATCGTTTATATATAGTAAAAACAGCAACGGCCCCAAGATCGAACCCTTCGGGATTCCACAAACTGTTTTCTTAGGTGATGAAATCTGGCCATTAACCGTACATTGTTGCTCCCTGTTTGTTAGGTAAGATTTAAACCATCCCAGTTCAGTGCCAATTATGCCAAAATGGTCATGCATTTTTTGTAGTAATATTTCATGATTTATTGAGTACCAATGCTTTTCGAACGTCAAGAAATACTACACTAAAACTGTCTGTACCAGTGTAGGTAGTACCAATGTGAAAATGTTGTGCTGAGTGGTTATATTACTACCTTTTTTAAGGTAGTAATATAACCACTCAGCACAAGAAATACTACACAATTCAATCCGAATGATTACACGTGAACAAGCGAAGTTCGATTGTCGTGAACAAGCTGTGACAGCTACGCACGTCCCTAATTAGCATTTGCGAAGGCAGTCTGAAACGTGATTGGCTGTTTCTCCGCCTACGTCATACATTTTGTTTATGAAAAGCGGATATTAGCTTTGCGTTCTCATCAGAAAACAATTCGCAGTCAAGAGTGAAAGTTTGCTGTTTTGATGTGATTGAGAGGTTTAATGTAATAAATATATTTGCTGTACAGACTTGTAGAGTGTTGGAATTGGATTCAAGTTTTGTCCAAGTGGAAATCGGATCGTCGTTCGGTGTTTGAGGACACGGTTTCTGGGTATATTTTATATCGACTTTCTGTCACCTGTGTCAATTTGCTACGGAAGTTAACGATCGACTCGAGGAATTAAGTCGTCAAAGCTGCAAGTTCCTGACGCAAATTTACTCAATTGACGCAAATTCTAGTTGCGAACTGGCATTTATGAGTCAATATACTAGACAGCTTATGTTGTGAATCTTGCTTTGTCATATTGCTGAAAAATATTTAAACAGTGTATATTGCACGGTACCTGCTCTGCGAAGGTCACGAATTCAATTTTATCACCTAATGACCTGGTTTTGTTCGAAATAATATCGGCATTGTTCTAATAAGGCGAATTGTAAGAATTTCACGTTAAATTCTCGCAAATTGAGACATATATCGGTTGATAAAGTTTAAAGAGGTTTGATTATTTCAATATAAAGGACAATAACATTTGCATTTGAATATGGAGATGGCAGACGTACAAGTTCTGGTTCAGTCCGTAGCAAACAAACAGCAACAAAATAAACGTAAACGCGATCCAGACATGTATTTAGATGCAGTCCTAGAATGTACTGTGCGAAAATTAAATCGCGAGCGAATGGAACGGGACGAAGTGCTGAGGAAACGCCAGAGAACTGAAGTGGACGACCGAACAGGTTATTGTGCGAGTACAGACGCTTCTCTTTCAGGAAAGAGTTTAATTGAATGCCCAAGAACTTTAAACAATGACTCTACACTTTCTAAAAGCACCGATTGTGATTTGGACACGGATTTCGCTAGCCTAGAAAACGAATTATCTGGAGATTTAAAAGATTTACTAGATGAACTATCAAGGGAATTCCCTTGCGATTTTTGGGTGACGGACACAAATAATAATACTCCGGTTGAAACTAAAGACAGTGAAGGAGATATGTGGTTTTCTAGTTTCATTGAAGTGCTATGTTCGACGTGATTGGGTTATCGATGAAATATTTAGCAAATAGAATGGTATAAAATAGTGCAAAGTATATTGTGAGGGGTTTATGTCTTAATCGTTCGTCACTTTGCGTGAAACGTACATGTTGTACCGGAAGTTGTAGATTTCAATCGCTAAGTTATTATAAAAATTTATATAAAGAAGAAATTAACTAAATTATTCTAAAAAGAGATTGTAGATTTATAATATTGTGAATATGGCAGTCAAAAGTGTAATTTGTTTTGGTACGAATATAAATTATTGAGAATTACATTAGTGTGTTTATACTGTATTGCGTGTTGTCATAAACTTGATACGAAGTTGTAGTATTGTCGACTGATATTGTTTCAATTTGACATGATGTAGCTTGTTTATATGGGTTGAGTAATATAAACAATTAAAGCAAATCACTTCTTTCATATGGCCAGTGCTTTCGCCTACAGCTGTCCTTCAAGTGGCTTTAAAAAACAATACTCTCGCAAATGAAAAGGCTTTCATGCCTTGTGAGCCCAGTGAGTGAGATGCGCATGCATGCCTTTGTAACGCACATAAAATTCATTTTGTGTTCATATGAGAAACGAGCCAGCCAGGCTAGTTCATATTAACTTTGGAAAATGTAAGGATGGTTTGGAACGCATTGATCGTGTGTTGCAATTTTGTATTATTTGGGACTCCTCAGTCCTGTTGTCTGTACCTTCAATCGTTTTGTTGATTGTAAAGTTTATAACTAAATTAGGTGGGATCTGCCTTGCGCTACTGTGGGATCTCAGTGAAATGTGAAGTGGGGAATCATTTTCCATATAAAGGCTTTATTCCACCTGACCGTGATGGCCTTTATAAACCCGAATATGCTAAGATTGTCTTACACGCGATTGATGTTCCTGGAAGTTGCTGTCTAATTTTAACCACGTTAACATATGACGCAACTATGGTGTAATGTTGTGTCCTTCGTTCCTGACGCAACTCGTTCGCATGTCATAACTATGGTGCAACTATTAAAAGTTGCAAGTTGGACACTATCACATTATATCATAGTTGCGTCATTTTCAGTTTGAAAATTAATTACGCGGCAATTTACAGCAACTTGCAAGGTTGCTAACTTGCAGTCAAAATACAAAGTGTCCCACTTCCGCTTCTGTAGTCTGTTGGCTGCAATTTGTTCTGTTTTTCTGTGGCGGTTGCCAATTTATCGGCAAATACCGCGATAAAATTTAATTTTTTTTCTCAATATGATAATTTGTAGCGAAGGATGCATTTTAAAATTTTATCGCGGTTTATTTGCCGATAAATCAGTAACCATTTATACAGAAAAAACAGAACAAATTGCAGTAAATGACATCCGACTACAGAAGCGGAGACAGTTTTTGTACTTTGGCTGTAATTGTAACAATTTGTTATATATTGCCTTCATCACTTCGATGAATTTTACTTTTGATATTACGCAAGTAGTAACAACCTTGCAACATTTCCAATAAAATGCTGAATCCGGGATCTGTGTCAGTTTCGGTAATGCCAATTATAAGAAAGTTGCGGATGAATAGGGACTCAACTACCTGAAAATACAAGGAGAAGTTCTTGTATTTCTAGGTAGTTGTATCCCCATCAATCTGCAACTTTCCAATAAAATGCTTTTACATCTGCAATTTTAAATCCGTTGATTTGACACTGACGCATGGGAACTGAGAGGGCATAATATTTTCTTCAATGTGTCGTTTTCCCAAACCTAAACAATGAAAAAAGTGGCTAAACTATCAAGATTTTGTTGGCATCTCACTCGATTGATCAATAGTCGAAGGGTCTGGTACTCCTGGTAGATGGAAATTATCGAGTCTAATAAGTGTATATAAATTTCCACTTGATAAATTCCATCTACAAGAGCCTTCAACTCTTATTCAATCGAGCCAACAAAATCTTGATATTTACCCAGGGACGCCGGAACTGGGGGGGGGCAGGAGGGGCAGCCGCCCCCGTTGCCCTTTACCAGGAGGGGCAAGGGGGGCCAAGGTGCCCTTTCAATTTAAATGATTGCCTTGGCGAAATAGCGAATTGTCAGAAATGTTAGTGCAATTCTTTTACGAATCTGCTTCAGAAAACGCAAGAAATGCAGTCATCGAGCTTCAAGAATAGCACAATCGCCTGGCGGAGAACCCCCTCACACCCCTCAATCATCCGATAAATAGACTTAGAAAAACTTCAAAAACGTGCTTTTCGCATAATTTTTCCGTGATATGCACTACAAAGATGTCTTGGAGACCAAGAACATTTTGTCACTGAACGATCGAAGACAAAAATTAACACCGAAGTTGCGGTAACGAAATAGCCAGCAACTCACATCATAACTTATACGACCTCCTTCCGCCATTAAATATTGACGATCATCTTTTAAGGAATCATAGAAATTTTGAACTTCCTGTGTGTAAAACGAACAGACTTAATGATAGTTTTATCATGTACAATTCTAATATATATTTTAGATAATCGATTTGTTTTTTTAATATTCTTAAATGTAAATAGGGTTCATAGCATATATTCCTAATATCTTATATCTATTAAACTTAGCGTAATTCAGCTGTGAAATTTTCTGAGGCTGTAAGTTTTAAAGTTCAATAAACCATCTAATCTAATCTAATCTAATCCAGTAATCGATGTTAACACACAAACACATTTTACTGACTTTAACATTAGAGCTTTTAAAGGACTGTGAAAATCATTGCGAGGCATTACGAAACTTTACGAGCGTCTTACGATGGTTCACGAAGTCTACGAAGAGGTACGAAGGGATACGACAACAACGTTTACGATGAAACGAAGAAACCTCAAGAAAGATAACCGCGGAAAGCAAATTTATTGATTTTCTTAACCTTAATATTAAATTTGGGCGGAGTTTTAAACGTAAACATTCACAAGTTATGGTAAAATATTGGTAAATTCAGGACCCTAGCTAGCCCTTTTAGCTCTTCACGATTCACGGCACGCATATTAATCACGATTCACGGAATGGTATTTCTTCAAATCACGAATCACGAAGCACGAATAATTGCTAATCACGAGTCACGAAAATACCCTCCCCCCTATTAATGAGCTGCCAATTTTTACCAAAATTATCCATAAGACTCCTGCTAATTTTTACCCATATTATCCATGAATAACCTTGCGTTTTGAGGAAAATTGAAAAAAAAACTGAACAATTTTACAAACAATTTTACCAAAATTGAAATGGACACAGCAACCTTCGCAAATCGCAAGTTACGTTTGGCTGCGCTGCTCAGTTTATATTTTGAGAAGAAAGCGACACCGTTCGATTCAGCGTAAGATATTGTACTTACAGATGTCAAGTGTATTACTAAACTCCAGTATTCTAGCGATTTATGGCCTTTGAAAAACAAGCGAAATTGTATTGTTAACAAATCACTCGCACTACGTTTGTCCTTGTATTTGTAATGCCTAATGGCGCAATAAGGATAAAAATACCACCGTTCGATTCAGTGTAAGAAATTGTACTTACGGATGTCAAATGTATTACTAAGCATCAGTTAATATTCTAGCGATTTATGGCCTTTGAAAATCAATGAATACTGGCGGTTATATAGCACGGCGTTAAATATCCACCAATATTAATTAACGCTTCATTAAACTTCCCCCTGGCATATTCCTATATGGCGGCTACGAACGAGTGGAATGATGAAAATCATAAAATAGTTGGTGCACTGAACATTATTGAGGATATAATATCGCGATTAGACAGCTAGCCTTGGTGACCCAGGTTGTGTGGAGGGAATGGCAATACGATTTGACGTTTTAAAGAGATATCTTGTAAATATTAGAATCAACGACATCATGCACTTTGGAATTGCTGGATAGGGTTTGCAAAAATTTAAACCAATTTGAGCAGCGGCAGCGCTATTCGGTCATGAATAACTCTGTATTTCCAGCACAAGTTTATGCCATGGAAAATCTTCGTATGACATACACGAGGGGCAATTGAATTTTTTATAGCGAAAGTAAGCAGTATGATGGGTGCACGTGTACGCAAAATAACTTTGGAGCGGCGAATGAGGTCATTTGGCGCGAGTTTGTCAGTTAAGAAAGTTATGCCCGTCTTACACGGCCAACACAGTCGTTATGCAGCACTGTACAGCATATGTAAGTCGACAAACCTAGGGACACTGATGTAAATGTAATGCATACATGTAAATCAATTCTGATTGAAACCACAACTTCCCATGTGACGTGTGGGGATTGGTGTTAGTGAAAAAATCTAGCAGTCACAGACCTCCGAATTGGCGAAGAATCGCGTCGTTTGCCGACCTTAAACGAAAACAGGCCTGCAAATTTCAGTTTTCAATAAAATTCAAGTTTTCATGAATTAATCCAAAATGTCAAGTTTCTGGACTGACTGCCACCAACCGCCCTGCTGCCACTGACATGGGCTTTTTATCTCTGCTCAGCATTACTAAGCTAACCTTTTTCTTCAAATGGTAAAAAATTAAGTGCAGATGAAAGATGTGAATACCTAGGTATTCCCGTTCTCATGCATTCCAGGTTTTAGTTCTGTATAAAACTACGTGCAGTAAATCATATTAAATCCTGATGATAAGACGCTATATATACAGTGTTGCATATAACCACTCTGTTGGCCGTATAGGATGGGTATAACTTTCTTACCTGACAAATTCGTGCCAAATGACCTCATTTGCCGCTCCAAAGTTATTTGCGTACACCCATCATACTGCTTACTTCGCTATAAAAAATTCAATTGCCCCTCACGTTTATCATATACGAATGTTTTCAACGGCATAAACTTGTGCTGGAAATGAAGAGTTACTGTATTTATGGCGGAATAGCGCTGCCGCTGCTCAAATTGGTTTAATTTTTTGGCAAATCCTATCCAGATTCCAAACTGATGCATGATGTCGTCGATTCTAATATTTACAAGTTCTAATTACAAGATATCTCTTTAAAACGTCAAATCGTATTGCCATTCCCTCTACACAATCTGGGTCACCCAGATAATATCGCGATATTAAATATATCCTCAATAATGTCCAGTGCAAAAACTATTTCATGCTTTTCATCATTCCGCTCGTTCGTAGCCGCCATATACTACGGTCGGCTCTACAGTTTCAGATTCGCAGTTTCAGATTCACATTCAGATTCAAATATGAAAATCGATCAGGTGTCTGGCGCATAAAATGTCGAATTACTCAGTTTCTTTCTACGCAATAAACTTGTTAACGAATTTCATTCTTCTTCAGAACATTACACATTGAACAAATGTATTTTGAAGGCTTTAGC